GAGCCGGCCCTGCCTCTAGGTGCTTACAAACTGATTGTTTAAAAATTTGCTCCAATATCTTTCCAGGTATCAAAGTTAGGCTGACTGATCTATAATTCCCCCAGTCCCTTTTTTAAAAGATAGGTGCATATTTGCCCTTCTCCAGTCCTCTAGGACCTCACGTGTCTTTCAAAGAGTTGCTAATGGTTCCAAGATTACCTCAGCTAAGTTTTATAAGTACTCTAGGGTGAATTTCATCAGGCCCTCCCAATTTGAATATGTCTAAATGTTCTTTAACCTGTTCTTTCCCTATTTTGGATTGTGAGTCTTCCTCCTTGTTATTAAGGTCACCATTACCCTTTATAGTAATGATTGAAGCAAAGTAAGCATTAAACACCTCAGTCTTTAGTTATGAGCGCTCCTTAAGTAGTGGACCTACACTTTTCTTGGTCTTTCTCCTAATGTATTGCTTTTTATGTCCCTTGATAGTTGTAATTCATTTTGTACTTTAGCCTTTCTGATTTTGTCCCTACATGCTTGTGCTATTCTTTTGTAACCAGCCTTAGCAAATTGTCCATATTTACACTTTTTGTAGGATTCCTTAATAGGTCATCCTGATGGAGACATGTTGGTCTCTTCCTTCACACCTGGAGCGTTTGCCATTAATAAGAAACTGCCAGCTCTCCTCAACTCCTTTTTCTCTTACATTTTCTTCCCATGGGACCTTAGCTAGCAGTTAATCTGAAGGCCGTTGTCCTTATTCTGCTGCTCTAATGCCTTCCTTTCCTTAAAATCATTTTATGGTCACTTTCACCCAAATTGTCTTCAACTTTCAGATTCGCAAACGATTTCTTCCTAGTCAGAATCAAGTCTAAAGCTGCCCACTTGGTTACTTCTGAAGTGAGAAGTCCCCAGCACATTCCAAGAACTTACTGGCCATTTTGTGTTTTGGCATCTTACTTTTCCAACAGAAGTCCCCCATTACTACCCGGTCTCATGTGTTGGAAATTTCTGTTGTTTGTCCTAGTAATGCCTCATCCACCTCCTGTGCTGGTGATCTATCGCAGGCCCTTATCATGATGCCATGCTTGTTTTCCCCACACACATACTTTGGTCTGCCTTTCACCTCCTTCTGGCCATCAGAACAAGTGAAAGCATTTGTGATGTATAATGCAACCTCTTCCCTTACTGTCCTTCCTGAACAAGCTGTACCCTCTAATTATCCCACCAATTCTCATTGATGCCAATTAAGTCATAATTTATCATATGTACTAATACTATCACTGTAATCCTATCATTCAGGATTCCGCCCCTCCGATATTCTCCTTTGCTTCCGATTACCCCTTTGGAAGTGATCATAAAATGTTCTTCATTGCTTCCAGTTTTTAAACATTTAAGTATATGCCCCACTTCCCCTTAGATTAGTAAACAAATATCACATTTAGGGGCAATTCTGATCAATCAGGTAAATACATGCATAAAGTAGGCAAAACACAGTAATAATTGTCTAGGAGTATGTAATTACTAAAAGGACAATTCTGGTTATTTTGTTCCACTAGATAAATTGTATTTATCTAGACTGGCTTTTTTTGTAATTTAGACAACAGCAGGGGCCTGAAGTCATGAAAATGAAGCTTTCATAGCAATCACAACTCACTATTGAGAAGAAAAATTTTTCATGGTGGTCAAATCTGAACAATAAAACTGAGATTATGAGAGTCCATGAGAGATGCTGAAGGTAATGAGAATAAGGCACTGGTCTGGAAGCTAACTCTACTCTCTGACCTGCTGTGTGACCTAAGACAAGTCACTTCACCTCTATGTGTCTCTGTTTCCCCATCAGTGAAATGTAAATAGTGGTGCTTCCCTGTCTTTGTAGTTAGCACTGAGATCTGTGGATGAAAAGTACAATTTGAGGACTAAGTATTAATAGCCATCTGGTCTAACTTCCACAGTAGGCAATAAGGCAAGTCCTTTGCCCCCAAGATATGTAAATGAATCTTTTTCTCCTAATCTGCTTCCTTTATGTGCAAGTCTTCTAAAAACACTAGACATCAGTAGGATTGGAAGTAATAGTGGCTGATTTTTGGGGGTGGTCATTTTTTGAGTATTCTGTTTTTTAACAGTGCATGTTGTCAGTACACATTGTATAGTGTAGATATTTAACTGAGTATCTTTGAACTAGACCAGTATACTTTTAAATGAACTTGAAAATCATTCATCTGGCATTAAATTAATATTTAAAATGCCCATTGTTTGCCTGACAGACAATGCTACAGATGCTGGCAAAATGTCAGTGTGGAGTAAATCTTCCCTAATAAACCACACTTACCCTATACTCTAGAGTTTTTTAAAAGGACCACCAGGATCCCAAACTCATCATACATTTATCTGGAATGAACTCAAAATGTTTAATTGATACATGCTTATGTCTGAACACTGTCAAGTCTCGTAATAAGATGTTTAGTGCAATACATCGGTTAGACTGCTAGAGTCCAGCCACAGTAATAAGTAATGACATTTGCAGCACAAAGGCAGCTCCCCAACGAATTGGTGACAAGTATAAAAAGGCAATCTAGCCCATGTATGCTTTAAATGTGGTCTGAATTTTACAATTACATGTCCTAAAGCCTGTTATTAGACATGAAGGCAATGAGAAGGAAAGCAGTCATTGCATCACTACTAACACCAATTATAGGAAACATAAATCATTCAAATTTTTGTTCTTTAATAAAAATCAGCCTGAATTGGTGTTTAAAAGGCAGGATCTAGTGTAGGAGCCTAATGGGATAGAAGAAAATAGAGTAATTGGAGGCTGCTGTCTTTTCATTTTCTATGTAAAATTATTTGAAGAGACAGCCAAGAACTTTAAACAGCAGAAACCCAGAAAAGTTGTAATTTGGATGTCTTCAGTTGTGACTTTAATGGTGTTTGCTTAAAGAGCTTTCTTTTATCTCTGCAGACATACTTCAATGACAATATCCTCACACTGATACGGACGTTGGTAACAGGAGGAGCCACACCAGAGCTGGAAGCGCTGATTGCTGAGGAGAATGCACTGAGAGGAGGCTACAGCACACCCCAGACACTTGCAAACAGGGACAGGTGTCGAGTTGCTCAGTTGGCTTTGTATGATGGGCCATTTGCAGACCTAGGGGTAAGATCATAAAAGAAAAGTAATATCAAGGCAGCCGTTCCGTAACTGTTTCATCGTCTGCTGAATTTTTAAAAAATCGTTTCCATAACAATGAACACGGTGTTCCTCTTTTTAAATTTCTCCCCTGAAAGCCATGGAGTCCACTTGAAATTTTGGGCAGATCTGGTGATACATTGCTGCTCTGAGTACCAAACTGCCCCTACCCTGATTAAGAAGCGGCTCTATAAGCCAGAAATGACAATATAAAAGATATAGTTTCTGTAAGGAGTTCCTCAGGTCCCTTCAGTGGCTGCATCCTCCAAATCTACTCTGCTAAATTTTTTTCAGAAAGACACTAAAATTGCTTCATAGAGCCAGTGCCATTAAAAAAAAAACGTGTAGTTCTTCACAGTGTCCGAAGGAATGGGTGAGACAGTTTGGATAAAATAAGAGCTGACACGAAACCCTCTTTCTAAAGGTGAACTAAACCTGAATCTTTGTGGTGATTTGATAGGGTTATTAGCATTTTTTTTCTGTGTGTGCCCCTGAACTTCCTGGTTTTTGCTAAGACCATAAACATCAGCTTGAATATACAGCAAGGAAGTTTATATTGTGTTGTTTCCAACCTATTTGAAATCCACAGATGCAAAAAATCATGCGAGAACCTCTTTTTCTGATTTTCCCATCCCAGTACCCAAAATTTAAAAAGTTCTGAGTTTCAATAAGCATCTAGACATATAGAGACATTTATTTGAACCAAACCGAAATGCCATATCTTATAAATCTTGCTCATGCTTTTCCGAAGCATCCATTTCACCATTCATGGTGTTACAGGGTTGACCTTCATTATAAATTAATCAGATTTTCTGTGATTTCATGGAACACAGTACTCCATTCTCCATGATCAGAACTGGTAAATGCAATCTTAAATCAATGGACAGGCTACAAAATTACACACACTCAGCCAATCACCCATCATTTACTGCAAAAGTCAAAGGAGGATGAAAAAAAGATTTTTAAACTTGATCATCTTGATAGGATGAACAGATCCTTAATTTGGATTCTCAGATTAACATTTAGGCAAGTAAAACAGCATTTCCTGCCAAAGTATTGATACTTGGGTAGTTAATTTCAGCCTACCTTGAATACCAATAAAATAACAATTAAAGTTATTTCTGTAATTTCCCTTATACAAACTCTGGAGTTGCTGCTATTGTGTTCCACCTCTGAACTGACTACATTTCACTGACCCATTGAACTGACCCACACACTGTTGGGTGAATAAGTCCCATTAGTGTGTGGGTCATAGTCATACTGTTGCATTGGCCAGCTGCCTGAAATGTTCATTAATTTGGTCAAAGTAATAATTCTTCTTGAACATTTAATAAAATAACTAGAGCTACTAGGCAAAGGAAAGATATGAACAAATTGGAGAAGGTCCAGAGCATAGCAACAAAAATGATTAAAGGTCTAGAAAACATGACCTATAAAGGAAGATTGAAAACATTAGGTTCTTTTAGTCTGGAGAAGCGAAGACTGAGGGGGGGCATGATAACAGTTTTTAAGTACATAAAAGGTTGTTACAAGGAGGAGGCAGAAAAATCGTTCTTTTTAACCTGTGAGGATATGACAAGAAGTAATAGGCTCAAATTGCAGCAAGGGCAGTTTATGTTGGACATTAGGAAAAACTTCCTGTCAGGGTAGTTAGCACCAGGAAAAATTGCCTAGGGAGGTTGTGGAAACTCTTTCATTGGAAATTTTTTAAGAGCAGGTTAGACAAACACCTGTCAGGGATGGTCTAGGTAATATTTATTCCTGCCTTGAATGCAGGGAAGTGGACTAGAAGACCTCTCGAGGTCTCTTCCAGTCCTATGATTCTATGATTTAATGGTCAAATGTTTGAAAGTGGGGATCAAGCCTTTGACCAAATGCTGCAGCATTCAGCTAAAGTTGGCCATTAAATTAAGTAACCTAAACATATCTTATTTTCAAATACTAGAGAACATCTTTCACTCAGTAACTACAAATATTGTTGCAGCTCCAGCTCTACATTAAGCTAACTTCCCCAGGAGGGTTACATTAGATAAGAGAAAAAATAGTTTTTAGAAGGGATATAAACTCTTAAACTGGCATAAGACAGACACTAATGGATGGATCAGGAATTTCTGATATATTCAAGTTATTCTATCACAGTCCACCATACACCTCCCTTGGAAGCACTAGAGATAGGCTATTGGACAAGACAGACCCCTTGTCTTCTGCAGTATGGCAATTGAGATGTTGTTGTTATATTCTGAGAGTTCCAAGACACTGGGATTCCATGGCTATTTGACAACATTGAATGAATTTGACATCATAATTGTACTGTAATTTTACTAAATACACATACCATGCAATAGTTTTTATATGAATATTTTAGCTGCAGCCAATATTGTGTCATGTGATGCAACAGAATTCTGGATTGTCTAAGTCACTGTACAGTATTATAAACAGGGTCTTCATTCACAGGAGTCCTGAGTTCTGTTCCAAGCTCTGCCACTGTCTCCATATGGGAGAATCTACAACGATCAGTGAACTCGTCTGTAGAATGGGTATATTAATTACTTAGACTCACCCTATCTGTATTAGAAGTGCAATTAATATCAAAGATACCAGGAAAACACTGAGTTAGGTTTTGGAGGCTCAATTGTTTTTCCTGCCTCCATATAACTGCTCTTAACTAGCACCCTTCACTCATAGCTCTCAAAGTGTAGACACGCAAACTGGAAAGAATTAATACCAATTCTCAATATGGTACTGATCTTGAACTTCAGCTGGAGTGCATCAGTGGAGCTAAGCCAATTTACAGTAGCTGAAATCTGCCCCATCATGTCTAAGAGCCAATGAATTATATCTACCCAAATGAAGCTTAATTGTTAACTCATGATAATCCAATGGATTATTTATGAAATTAACAGAATTTTAAAAGGGTGACTATTTTATTAGAGCCAATTAATTCAGTATTTTGAACCAGAACTTGTGGGAAAATTTCCCCCTTCATCTCCATCATCTACAAATTATGCTTTTTGCAAGGTTCTAAAGCAGCACCACTTTGCTCTCCATACTGATTTTCTTTCACAACATGCATACTCTCAAAATCGGAGCAAAAAATGTCACACATTCTTAATCATCATTTTGTTGAGACCATGTTTCTCTCAAATGATAGAACATCTATTCTCTGTCCCCAAATCTTATTCTTCCAGTTAAAATCAGAGTCACTCAATGATCACAAGTTCCCATCAAATAAAATCACTGGACAATAACATCCTATACATACACAGTTTTGCAATTCAACATTTAGATTTGGGATTTTCTTGACTAATTGTTTCTCAGCTGTGACAGGTAAACAACAGATTGTGATTCTGTGCCAAGGCATGAAGCAGACTGAAAATACCCTCCCCCCCCTTTGTTTTGTCTCCTAGGATGGTGGTTGTTATGGAGATCTGTTTTGTAAAGCACTGAAAACATACAATATGCTTTGTTTTGGAATTTACCGATTGAGGGATGCACATCTAAGCACACCTAGCCAATGCACTAAACGGTATGTCTAGACTTTTACTTCATTCTTCCTGCTGTGGACAATCCAGATGCCTTTTACAGGGCACAAATGATGTTTAAACAGTTTTCTCCGTTCCCCAACCACTTTCTGTATCACTGTGACACGAATACCTCTTCCAATTCTTTGGTGAGCCTTAGTGATAAGCCCTTAGTGGAACTCTAACCAATTCAAACCATACCATAGAATATTGTTTTATTTGACAAAAATGAAGTGGCGGTGTAGCCCTGGTGGTTACACAGACAAAGTGGGTGAGGTAATATCTTTTATTGGCCCAACTTCTGTTGGTGAAAGAGAAACGCTTTTGAGCTCTTCTAATGACGTGGTAGTTTAAATGCTCAGACAGCACCATATCTTTAATTGCATCCTTACTTAGTCTCATTTATGATAACCCAAGCTATTTTACTTACAGTTCGGGAGGGGGGGACTTTACTGTTTGCTATATTTAATCAGCAGTAAATTAGTATCATTAATATAGTCCTGATGATGTTATAACCTACTTTATTACATAACTTTAACCTCTTCTGTACTTAGATAATAGTAGCCACAGTTTTCTCTGTGATGGGGCTCAGACTGTGAGAAGCACTGTTCTCAGAGCAATATCATATTGCATAGCCGACATCCTCAGTAAAACTTTCCCATCGGTTTTCTATTTGGGCTAGGTGCATTTTCTCATCATTGCCTTCAGTTAATGGATCAAGACTTGGCTTCTGCGCAATGAAAAACATATAGATCCCCATCTTAATGCCATATTCTGATTGCACAGAAGTTGTCAAGACAACATTTCCATGGGCTTCAGTGGGAGCAGGATCTGAGCCAATGTATGCATCAAAGAGGACCACAGTCACTTAGGCCACTACATCATTTGGCCATCAGTTTGCTAAGCTTCTATGAGTAGAGGGTTTTACTTTACTAGACGATAACTACATCACACAAACCCCACTGTAACAGGCCCTAATCTGCTCATTCACAAATGCTGCAGAAAGACTCACAACTGAATGGGTATGGCAAATAAGCAACCCTCTCTGAGGTGGTTCCTTCAAGTTTGGACTTTGGATAGAGCAGTGCAGTGAAACTTTGGTTGTCACTTTGCTAGCTATTCTGTGGATAAGGAAGATACTTCAGTCTCCAAGCTGGGCCGGCTCTAGCGTTTTTGCCACCCCAAGCAGAAAAAGGAAGAAAAAAAAAGCCGCGATCGCAAGCGGCGGCAGCTCTACCACCACTTCATTCTACGGCAGCAGGTCCTTCGCTCCGAGAGGGAGTGACGGCCCCGCTGCCGAACAGCCGGACGTGCCGCCCCAGGCACCTACTTGCTAGGCTGGTGCCTGGAGCCGGTCCTGTCTCCAAGACTGCCAAGCCAGATCTCTCATAAGCACTAAATTCACTTGGAGAAAAAAAAAATGGTAGAGCCAAATTTTGGCATTCTTGATCAGTTTGTAATGATTTCTTACATAAGCAAAAAATTCCCATTGACTTACTCACATAAAATGCTTACTGAATAGTTGTGGACTGAGTAAGGGTCAATCTACGAATATCAGTGATGTAAAAGAAAAAACATAATTCTGCTGTTGGATACAGCGTGGGGCCTGCCTTCTGAAGTCAGTGAGCACCACATGCATGCAGAATTTCATTGAGAGAGTTTGTAAGCTACCCTGGCCTTGTACGGAGTTGTTTGACGTTGTGAGGCTTCAGGTTAATTGGCAGTTTTTGTTTGCATCTGCAAATGTAGGTGTTGTTTTTCTTGCATTTATAAATGCGCCTCGAGATCACGGAGACAATGTTTAGCCTTACTGCAGTGTTTATTAATTTATTTTTCATACATTGTATATACACATTCATTGTAAAAGAACATCTTTTTTTTCCCTGTAGTGCTCCTTGACAGTACTTAAATAGCCCACCATGGACCACACTTAATTTTTTAATTGTTTTTGCTAGTGCATTACTGCTGTTTCTTGAGGCCGCTAGACTTCCCCACCAAAGTGTCCAAGGTGGTGGAATGAGTTTCAAAGGTGAGGGGACCATGTGGAGAATATTTGGCTCAGAAGCCTCCACTGCTTGTGGCAGCCTGACACAGGTGATCTCTGAGTAGGTTCCCAGGTCGTTATACAAGCTGAATACATATGACAACTAAGGAGGCAGAAGTGCAAAATTTCAGATAAATGTTGCTAGCAGAGATTTTAATGCAAATCTAAAGCCACTTTCTTTTTTTCTTTTCCAGCTATGTTATCACAAATCCACCCTATGAGTTTGAGCTTGTGCCCACAGACTTGATCTTCTGTTTGATGCAATTTGACCACAATGCTGGCCAGTCCCGGGCCAGTCTCTCTCATTCGTCCCATTCTTCCTACTCCTCCAGCAAAAAGAGCTCATCGGTACACTCTATCCCATCGACAGCAAACCGACAGAACCGCACCAAGACTCGGGACTCCCGGGAAAAACAGAAGTATGTGCAAGAAGATAGACTTTGATATGTGTACCCACCCCTACTGTGTGTGACACCTGCATCTGCCACCCATTCCTCCCAGTTGGTGTTTCCCTGTTTTCCTATGGAGTTCTTCTCCCTCCTTTTTTGTACACATATTTTACATATCTATGACAGTGTGCATGTAATTATCATTTTTATTTCACCACCATAAAACCCTTAAGCACAACAGCAACAAAGCAGACGGACCAATGATGCTAAGGGGGAAAAAACCTAAACCCATAGGCATGCCAAAAACATAAATAACTCACCGTAGCAACTACTCTACCTATCAGAAGGTGTTTGGCATGAACACTTGATGTCAGAGTTACACAAAGAAAGTTATTTAATGCAGAAGTGTTGCTGTATTGGGGTTTTTGTTAAGTTAGTACCTTTATTTGAAGCTTAGAAGGCTTACCCATTGAAAAAAAACAAACTACTGATTGTTTCATGTCAAAGCTGAAATAGCATAAGGCTTTCACCATTTGTATAGATTATTAAGCACCTGCTCTATACCAAAGTAACAACATCACAGACTTGTATAAGGACATTCTTTAAAATACTGTCCTTTTAGAGAGAACATCTCCTCCCTTTAACTCTGAAATTTTCCAGGCATGGAGTTGTAAAACTCTAAGTTTTAAAAAAGTGTCTAATAGCATGTTAAATTATTATTCTTTCTATTTATACTGCCACATGAGTAGCTATATTTTCTTTCACTTTTGACATTTGGGATGAAAAGCCATATGTTTCTTGGATGTAAGTCATTAAAAACTGCTTTCCCAGTACTTTTACATCTTTGAAAAGGTAACTAATTCACCTTATAAACAGAGAAGAGAAAGTATTTTTCCATGTTTAAGTATCATCCCCTAAGTATCAGTCTTCAGGGGACTTTAACTTAGTCAAGTTTGGTATAGACCCTTCATTAAATGTCCTAATTAATAGGAGGAAAACCTGGACCGTGTTCTGGTTTGTGAAGGATGCATGCCAGCAATGCTTTTGGAGGAGTACAGGGGAGAAGGAGCTCCTCTGTGGTCCTTCAGCATTGTGAAGGGGTGTGTAATGGAGGATGTCCCACACATTAACCTATATGTATTTCCAAACCCAATAGTGGCTACTCATGGACTAGAGGGGAGCAGAAGGAAACATGCTGTGTGCTAGGCTGCTCTTAAGCACAATATTGGAGGCAGGGGAGGAGTACTGTAATACTTGCAGTGCAGCCACCTCACCTTCCCTGCACTTGCCAGAATTTGAATTGCTTACCAGTTATTCAGTTAGCTATGCTAAAATTATGGCAGAAAATTAAATACAATAAAGAAAGGACGCCTAAGATAGAAAGCCACAAAAATGTATTTTTCAAACCTATTTTAAATGCTGTGGGGAAGAGGATGCCATGAAATCATACCCCCTACTTCATTTGTGATTGGCTGCCCAGCACAGAAGGTGTGTCTCTAGGACACATATGCAAACCAGGCAGAGGAGGAGTAGCATGGTAGCTGCCAAACCGCAAGAGGTGTTTTTATGGTTAGTGCTGTTTTCTCCCCTCTCCCCTCCCCAAGCATGGTAATTTTGGAGCTTTGCTTGCTGTGTGAATTGACAATGAAGTCAAGCACTTTTACTGACAAAACCTGGTATGGTACAACTGGGGCTACCCACAGTGCATCGGTGCAGCGTTAAGCATAATGATTGAAATGAGAAATTATTGTGTGTGTGCGCGTGTGTGTGTAATCAAATGCAGCTGCAAGTCCTATCAAGGGCAGGTGTTTCAAATTATGTTTGTCCCCCATCCCAAAAATTCTTGCATATGAAGACAAATTCAGGTATTCTTTGAAAATAGTTATGAAGTTTTGCCCTAAGAACAGTCATAACTACAAGGCTGTGCCAGTTAAAGTGCTCAACAGGAAATTTGACAGTTTAAAAGCATTGTAAAACTTACATAGCTTACTTCTCTTTCTAAAGTGCAACAAGGATGAATAGAATGGGCCAAGGTATGACAATTAATGGTTCTGCATGACCTAGCAACTGCTGTGGGTTTCCTTCTATAACGTTGTCCTTGTGAAAACTTGTGGAATTAAAAAAAAAAATTACAAACTTTATTCAGTTACTGGTTTATTTTTTTAATTGTTTTGCTTTTTTTCCTAAATCAAAAGTAAAACTGGCTGCTGCTGCTGTTGCTCAACCCTATTTTATTTTTATCCTCTCATCTGCTTGCCTTTTAATTGCACGTGTCCTCTACTAACCATCTATGTACCTGCACAGTAAAAATGTTTACCTATTGCAGACATCATTTCAACTTGCCAAATCCTCACTTCCATTCCACTTCTCTCCCACACTCTTTAACCAAGTTCACGAACATTTTTATGTTTACATTGACTAAGTTTTATTTGATACCAATTATACACTTTTAGCAGCTTTAACATGCTTTTCTGTTACCATTTCATTTTCCTCTGAATAGGGAGTTAATATGGAATCAGTTGTGGCAGACTTCTATGCATGCACATTTATGCAAATACTATTTTTCAGATATGATCATTTCTGTCTTAGACAGAAAAGCGATAGACAATTAGAGAACCAATTTGTCCACTTTGGGAACAGAGCAGAAAATGAAACACTAAATATGAGATCCTCCATGGCATTACTAAGGACTAATTCTCCATGGGAATTTTGCCTAAGGCAGGAGGAGTGAAAAAGGACTTGAGGATTGGGCCAAATACATTTATATTGATGTCAATATACAAGCAGGTTGAATCATATATAGGAAACTATGAGGATTTTTTTTTACAGTGGACAACAGAGACTGTTTTCCTTTGTATATGACAAATAGCGGAGTGTTTAAACCAGATTAGGGCTCTCTAGCCTCAAAAATATTTTATAACATTTTCAATGACACTATGGAAATTTTCCATCACCCCAGAGATCCAGAGCTACCCAAAGTCAAGAATTGCTGTCACCCCCCATTTCTAACTGCTACTCCTGGTAAACTCATTGTTTACTTTTACAAATATAAGGACCACATTAACTATTGGTGTAAGACAGCATAATTCCATTGATTTAAGTTGAGTTATGGCAGCATTGAATGAATTTGTCCCAGAATATATACATAAAAATGTTTGGTTTAAAGTACTCTGCTCCACCCCAAAGGTGAAAAATTGTACAAAAGGTAGAAGATTACAATGTTGTGTGTCTTGTATTTGAAAGCCATAAGACAACCTTTGGTTAAAGAATACTCCTGTAAAGGAAAAGCCAGAGGGAGTTGTATTCCTATAGGAACAATTACGTGAAACTCTCAAGTTTCTATGGTAACAGGCCTTTCCATGGTTCAGATATTGAGCTTGTTTAGGTGCTTTCTGTAAATTCCATAGTTTTTGCTGTACTCTCTCTTTCCCCCACAGCAAGTTAGGCACATACGCCCATCAAATACAAAAGTGCCCCATCCATTATACCACCACCTTGCAAAAGCTGAAATTTCCTTCCTATTCTTCATTGCCAACTAGAGTCTGAATAACTTGTATCACGCTATAAAGAAGTAATTATTAGGTACCAATGTACATTCATTAGGCTGACAGACAAAGGGCCAAGATCCTGACACTGGCTGAGCAGGCCTCAACTCCCCCTGAAGTCAGCAGGCCCAACCTTGCCTTCCCTATAAAGGCAAAGCTGCCATTAACACCAGAGGGAATTATGCTGATTAGCCCCAAAACACATCTGCTCCCAAATGCATGATTTTTTATAAAATATGTGTGTGTGCATAAATTGACAGCAAGTTTGTATTATCTATTCAACCATTAGCGAATCCCTTAAACCTTGTAGTATATTTGCAAGGAGAGCTGCATTAGAACCAGTCAAAAAAATTCACAAATAATGAGAGCAGTTTCACCGAGCTGCAAATTGATCATCATAAAATACTCCCCTGCCAAACTAACAATCCTGGGTGGGTGGGGAAAGTTCTAGTATTTCCTAGTTAGGAAGCAATTGCATGCGAGATTGTCTAACACCACAATTTAATTTTAAGTAGGCTGCCTATATTGTTACCTTTTTGTTATGCTCTCAGCTGTTTTTTCTGTATCAGCTGAGAAACTATTTTGCTTTAACACATTAGCTCCAAACCACAGCTTGCAACAAGTGTATGCTCTGACTTACTCCCTATGGCTGTTCAGTATCTTCCTTGCCTCGCCTCTGGGGATGGAGACTTTTGAAGGCATGCTCATGGATTTAGGGATTAGCACTTTCACAACTAAAAGTGAACACGCCAACATAACCACTATCATCAGTGCCAGTCCCTGACACCATATGCTAACTAAATGTGGGTGAACCCTGCACGGGTCCATTCATGTAACACACTTGAACCACATTTTTCAGGGTCAATTTGAAGCAGATGGCATCAACCCCAAACCTACTGGCTCATTTGGGGGAATCCATAGATCTCAAGCCTCCTAAGAAACCTAATGCTAATGCCCAGACACCCCCACCCCCACTTCTCTAGCACGTACCTTTGTAGAGGGTCCGCTTCCCCTGGCCTGGGTCTGGTGATGGTCTCCAGGAAGTATCACTTTTCCATGGCAGGCAATTTTTTTTAGAGAGCCTGTAGCGACAGAAACAGGAAGAGCCCCCAAGTTAGAACACTGGAAATGCCCTTGCAGCTCCACAATAATAAGAATTATGAGGTATTCCATGTTTTGCCGGCTACGGTGCTGGGGATTCTGGGACATCTACCTCCCTGGCCAGCTGCCAGAGCAGTAGCATGTTCCCCACCATACTACAAGGGGGGGGGGGAGTGAGACACACCTATCTGAAGCGTATTTGGATTGGGGGGCGGGGGGAAGCACTTGAGCAGCCACCAAGCTGTAGAACCTGCTGTGAGCTAAGGGGCTATTCTGCACCCCCCTGGAGACTGAAAAGTGGGCCAGCAGGCATTGTTAAGGAACATAAAGGGGTCAGACCACTCTACCCTTGACAGCGTCAACACCCAAATATCAGCGTCTTCAGCATATTTTATTGCAGGTGGCATCAGGGGCTGTTTCTAACTAGCTCCCCAGTTGACACTCCCTTCTTCAAGCTACAGATTTTATTGATGAAGTAAGATTACTACATGCACACACAACATATTCTGTCAGACTGGCTATGGGCCAGGGTGCTCAGCCGCTGTGTTACAGCATTTTCTTTTAGACAGATTTACGACTCCCAGAAACACTAGTGAAAACTTTTATCACTGAAAATTCCTTTTACACAGATACATGCAGCCATACAGCTTGCAGGTGAGTGTAGTGGTCAGTGTCTTTAATAAAACCCATGTCCCAGCCAAAGGATGCTCAGGAACAACAACAAAAGTAAGTCTCTAGCAAGGAGGGATACGTGAATGGTGTGAGCCAACAGACCTAATCTGAACACCAATCCGTAACCAAAATCAAAAAGTGGTTTTGGGTTGCGAAAGTAATTGTATTATTTGTCTTCAAAATTAAAAAGGCCATAGTTGCTCATGTTTCTATAGCAAACTGATCACTAGCTAGGGGCAAGAAGAAATCCACTCTGCACTATTATGTGTATTAGGGAACTTTAGGCCTTCCTTTGAAACACTCACTACTACAGGCCGTTGGACTACCTGAGCCAGTGAGTTGTTTTGTATGGCAACTGTTATTCAATCTAGCTAGACAGCTGTGTATACGGCCCTCTATCTGAGCACCTCAGATTTAACACTCAACACACACGTATGGTATAAAGAACATCCCCATTTGGAACTGAGAGACAGAGAAGATTAATTGACTTGCCCAAGGTTACACAGGAAGTCTATGGTCAGAACTGAACTCAGATCCCCCAAGTCCTGTACTTTAACCACTAACCTAGCCTTCCTCCCCACTTTTGTTAGCCTTACACTATTATAAATGTTCTTCAGGCCAATGCCAGAGGCACAAATTGAAAAATACCATGAGAAAGCCTAGTCTTATGAAATTGCCAGCCCACCTGAGCAGAGCCAAAGGGTTCAAATAGCTTTGGATCAAACTTCTAGGTGCTTTATCTGAACCAAATGTAAGGGCTGTCACCAGTTCTATGCTACAGCTAAAAGAAAAGCTACCTTCGGTCTTTTGTCACAATAAAACGGTCGCCCTTAAAGAGGCAGCATTTGCTCTGAATAGCCGTGAAGTGGGTACTGGTCTCAGACCCCCACTGTGCAACAACTATGGGAAATGTTTAATGGAAGCTAATGTGTTTTATGTAGCTAGATTTCAATATTAGTAAAATAAATGTGTATTTTAAGCACTAGACTCTAGAAATAGCTGTTTCGATAGAGCAAGGTCCTTAGGAACATGACAATAGCCCTTTTGCCTTCACTGGGACTACTCACAGACAGAGTTATAACCTTGCTGAACTGAGGGCTTGCAACACATTTCTGACTCTTTATTTTCTTATTGCCCTTTTCTGCATATTACATATACCCTTTATAAGTGGCTGTTTCCATTATGGGTGCTGGTAGCCCTTTAAAAAAAACAACTAGCATTTCATAGCAGAGGTAAATCCCTTCTGTCTCATGCCACAAGACATTAGTTGGCCATTCCAGTGTCTTTTATTACAGACTGACCAACACACTGCTATTTTGGCCTGAATTCATAGAGCATACAGGGTACTTTAAACAGGACCTACAAAATCATTCCCTGACCCAAGGCTCTCACTTAGACAAATGTGACACATGGACAAATGTTCAAGTGCCAAGAAGTGCCACATTGGTGGAGAACTCAATATATGAAGACTTCTGAAAGTAGAGGATTTTATGGATGGATTTAAGGAAAGGCAGGGTGTGTCATTTAGGGAGAGCAGGAGGCTGTTACAAGCACAAGCGATTGTGAAGCCAAGACAGAGAAATCAAAGAAAAGAATATAATCACTGAGAGAGGGTGTAGGATGAGATGAGAGGAGAATAGCACAGAGGCCTGAAGATAAGGCTGAGGAGAGCTCGAACCTGGTTCTGAAGGAGAGAGAAGGTGGCTTTCAAGGCAGTCCGGCCATAATGTGGTCGGAGAAGGAAGATGATCAGAGCAGTAGAGACATAAAAGGTAAGGAGCGAGGATGCCAAGAAGGAGCTGATGAGTCCCAGCACCTGAAACAAGAGAGCACCATGCAAGAGCCAGAGTTTCAGCATTAAGGAGTGATGGAATTAAAAAGCAAAAAAAAAAAATCAAAAAAAAAAAAAATAAAAAAAATGTGGAATGTACAAGTAGTTTTCTATATTTTATATACAGAGTGAATGCAAAAGGGAATTGACAGTGCCCGTACTTGTAAAGGTCAACATGAATTGTACTGTGAAGACTAATATATTAGCAATTACCTAGTGTAGCTGTTGCAAATTTCAGGGAAAGCTGGGTAGATGGAAAAGCTTTTCATCTGCTGCTGGAAGGAGAGGGGACGCAGTTCATCCTCATCCTTCGCACCACCACCACCACCATTTCCTCCTTCTGACACCAGGCGATTGAAATAACTTTCACCAAGTTCTCTTTGTAAACAAAGTGTGTGCAGCGGTATGCAAAAAAGTCAGATAAAAGTACACAATGCTTAACTTGCCTCAAAATCATTTTAAACACAAACCATTTGAAAACTGTTAGTTTGAAATTGTTTAGGTGATCTTGCAAGGCTTTTAAAACATGATAACCATCACACTTTACACCTCTCTGAAAGGTTAGTTTAATCGTAGATCACGCAAAATTGGTTTCCACAAATGCATAATGGTTCATGTGTCACACTTGAACTAAATGGTTTTTTAAATGGAGCTGAAATTATTTTGATGTGTACACATTCCCAGATTTTTTCCCCTACACCCTTTCGTAAACCAGCCCCCATCAGGCTTTCCCTTAAAGTCTCATTAATAATTCAAATGTTCTGATGACTTTAAAAGATCTATGGAATTGAAGCTTTTAAAAAAAAAATACTGCTTGACAAAAAGATAAATGAATGTAGAAAGAAGCAGTAGGAGTCTGGCAAGCTGTAGATCATTTCAGAACAGATTGTAACTTTATCATTCTGTCAGGAAGAATAATTTAAAGCACTTAATCAGTTAGCTTCACTGTGCAGGATGTAACATTATGAATTCCTATCGTTCAATCTGTTCAAATCAAAGGGAGCTTAATTATAATAGGTAAGGGGAGGGTGATTGAACATTGTTCAGACTCAGACAACTTTACTAGGGAAGGGAATGAGCACCCTGACCTCCAATGAGTATGACTTTTTAAAAGGATCTTAGATGACAGGAGAAACCAATATATTAGCCTTGACTTGCCTTCAATGGCAGGGCATAAATAACTACTTTTATAATCATTTAAGGTTTTAATTAAAAGTTCTAAAAGAATACACAAGCATCAAATCCACTAGAAAAAAAAATTCAGACCTGGATGGATGTCTACTGATAGGTACCCAAAAGCTGTATCCATTGGGTGAGCGGCACTTCTGGAACTCTGCCCACCTATTTAGGTGCCTAAATTTAGGTATCCATGTTTGAAAATGTTGTCCTTATTTCCTGCTGTTCCATTTGAATAGCGTCGTCTCTGCTTCCTCTCCTGAGCTCTTTAGTGTTCCTGTGCTGCTGCTGCTTTTTTTTTTTTTAAAACAGCCACCACGTTCCAGTCCAGGCTGCCTTTCCAGGATAAGCAAAGTGTTAGTTTGTATAGTACACTCTGGCAGTGAAGTCAGGGGGATCCCCTTTGGGAGGAAAGGGCTACATACATGTAAGCCCACCGTCAACATAAGAAACAAGAATACATAAACACCACACAAATATGCCATATCTAAATTCCATCCCTACGGCCAAACCCCTCATTTATCTCAGGGGAAAACAAAAGAGTGGGGAGAGGAGAGATATGACACAAAAAAGCTTCCCTGTAATTAAGAAGTGACATTAGCAGCTCTGCTCTAATATAAATCTATAAACAATTTAAGGAAAAAGTCTAGCTATATTTAGGATTTTCTCATACAGGACTTTTAACAAGTTTTATTCACGGCTGAACAGTGCAAGGGGTGGATCTACCACAGCAGAGACATCAAAAAGTCTTATGCAAGTAAACAGCAAACTGCACTTTTTTGGTCTCCCAATATTCCCCTACTGCCTCAAATTTAAACTCTAAAATTGTTACTATATTCATGCAAATGGATACTGAACATAGAGAAAGGAAAAGCCTCCCCATTTCTCTTCCCATTCTTTGCCTGTTGGTCCCCCCGCTTCATCTGCCATGCTACCATTCACCATCAACAATCCATTCAGACTAATGTAATATTGGGGCTGGCACCTGGTCCAGTCATCTAAACCATCTGTATCTGTATATAATGGGATAGGTCAGCAGCACTCAAGCAGCCAGGTTGACAATATCAAAACATCGGCTGTTACATCCAGGTACCCAATCCCCACTTTGAACCTCTTTGTATTCTAGTGCCAAACCCCAAGGAAGGATCTGAAATGTTTCCCACATCACTAACATGTTTTTTCAGATTCATCCAGCTCTGAATTTCTAGTAAGGGCTGGAAGCAGAAGTGCAAGAAATCCTGGGCGTGTATGATTTCTGAGCCAGTTGTGCAGACTTCCGTGAACCAAACAAACCTCCCAAACCTTAGTAGAGTATCCCAGCACTAACCACATCATGCTCCCAGCTTCTAATTTCATCCTTTTTATTTCTGAGCATACTTTAAAAATCTTGTACATTCAAACAACCCAGCAAACTGCCAGTTTTCTTTAACCCTTTACTACCAACCCTGCAAACATCTCCTCCTCCTTTTATAATATGTGTTTTCAGGTGTATTAATCTACCGCACTCTGCTGCTAGCAATTATTCAATGTTACCCTCTATTGATTGCCTTTCCACTATGAACTTTACTGACTGCTTTTTGCACTGCACTAATTAAACTTCTCATTTTCCCTCCTTGTTCTGTCTCTATCCATTTTGCTCTTTAGCAGAAAAGAAATGGTTTACAGATGAGACGGATAATGCCTATCCCAGAAACATTCAAATCAAGCCCATGAGCACTCACATGGCCAATCAGATCAATCAGTATAAATCTACAAGCAGCTTGATACCACCAATCAGAGAAGTTGAAGACGAATGTTGACTCACAGGAGGCCAGAACTATTTTTTTAAAAGCCTGACAAACTTCATGAATGGTGATGTGACATTTATTCCTCTTACATGCCGACCCACTGGTGGAAAAGTTATGAAGGGCGAGTGTTATGGAAAAATAAAGTAGACAGATCTTTGTTTGTCTGCCTTTAATATTGCTTCCATGTATTTTGGAAACTATTTCATTTATAAATGAACATAATCAAAAATAGTCATGTATAGCCTCTAGCATTTTAAATTATTTTTATTTATTAGAAAGAAAATATATTTTTCTTTTTGTTTTTTTTCATTGTCAAGGTTTTTTTCCCCCTTAAAACAGCTGCATATGTGGCCAGACTCCTAAAAATTAAAAAAAAAAAAAATCTGCTCTTGCTATCTCTCATCTTTGAGGAGAATGATGGTCACAATTATGAGGAAATGTAACCAAGGGAGATAAATAATATATTAAAAAATACAAGGTCCAACTTGTATTTTAATAAATCAAAAAAGAAGAAAAAAAAGAACAGTTCACCAACATGTTTCTTTACTGGAGACTATGTATTTTGTTCAGCATTGACACCAGCTCTTAATAAACTGAAACGTATTTATTTTCAACGCTGAAAGTCATATTTTTGTAGAATTAACATTCTTTCTGAACTATTCATCGTTTTATTACCATATACAGTGAAGACCTTCCTAACAATCATCTTAAGCGCCGGTAAATTTAAGGTCCAAAACAACCAAAACCATGCATTGGTAACTTTCTATGACAATAGGGTAGTGAACATTAGTGTAAAACAAAGGGCATGCAGATAAGATGCTCATAGTGGCACTTTCTTATAGGTTGCAAAATGTGCAATTCTGCTTTGCTTCATGTTGCATATTATCAATCAGCACTCGCCGACTCAAGGAGTTCAACCTTGGAAAATCCTCTTCTTTTGCCAGGTTTCTGAGTATTTTAATGCAGGGTGTCTAAACAGCGCATCAGATCATGATATTCTTAACCCACTCATCTACTGTATTTAACTGAGTTCTTGTTTAAAACTACTGGAGTTGTACCTGAACCAATCTCTATCTGAGCCAAACACTTCTTGAAATGTGGCGAAGTTTGGGTCCATAGCACAATTTTGCTGAGGGCCCATGTTTCAGCAACAGATAGAATCAAAACCCCAGCTCTGAGCACACCTGCACTTTAGGTGAGTTCAGATCAGGGTAGAAACTTTGCAGCTCAGGCTCGTGTCTCAACTTGTTGTTGCCAGTTAATTTCTGTAAAAATGTTTTAAATGTTATTGTTTGCTTATTTCTTTAAGTTGCTGGGACTCCACTCATAAAGGTACAGTGATAACCAAAACAAAACAAAAGTAATGAATGTATTTAATATAACTTACAAAAAGCCTTTGAAAAGCTGCCTACAGTGAAATCAATTGTATCAGCAGTTTCACAAAGTGGCCAACAAGCTTTATAGCCATCAGACAAAATTGTGATGTTTCATATCTGTGCTGCAGTATGTATTCACCCAGGCATTTGATGTTCTAAGCGATTTAGCAACTCTCTCAATTTCAAATTAACATTTGATACAACTGGATGAAAGGATGAGTTAGAGGATAAAAAAGGCCCCGCAGGAAAAGAAAGGTAGGGTCCCATTGCACAAGTTAACTTTAGGCTTTGTACTTTTGCAGAGTTGCAAAACACCAAGATAAAACATACTGTGGTACTATTATCGTTAGAAAAATATCAGTGAATCAGAAACATACAAAGCTGCTGAATTTACTGTGAAAAGAACATCCACTATATAATCCAACATTTAAGCTAAACTATCTCAGCTTCAATGTTTGTTCTGGCTGCAGTACCAATATAACCATACTGCCACCTAAACAGGCTTTATTCTGGAGTGACTTTTTGGACTGTGACTACTTTGTTGTTACATTTTGTAGATTAGTTATTTAAAAAAAAAATTAACAAGAATTGTGAATATAATGTATGTAAAATTGGATTGTTTAAAAATATTTATAATCACTATCCTACGAAGAAACAAAATAACTTGAGCAGTTTTTATTCATATTTAACCCATTTCACAATACCCAAAATAAAGGAAGAATCTGGTGGTTTTTATTTGTTACCACTTTAGCTAATGGCAGGCTATAATTTGCATTCTGGTTTTGCATTGGGTCACTTTAAACCTTTCCTTTAAAGTCAGTACTCCTTTTTCATTCATGAACTGCAATAATTTTATTACCAGAGTAAAAAGTTGGCCTCAATCCCAATAGAATTGTTGAAATTTGTGTCAATCTTAGCCATATGCATTTGATTTTTATAGGTCACTTGTTTTATGGCAGGCATAGGAAATTATTTCTGTAACATTCAACTTAAGAGTACTTAAAATGATTGTGCACAGTGCCATTTCTTAGCATCCTTCCTTTCAATAAAAACTTTACATGAGAATAAAAAAAAAAAAAAAAAAAACCACCAGCATTGCTGAGGCCTGTGTGTCTGTGTCTGCTGTTTAACTAATAACCCATAACAGCGTGATTGCCACTATAACTAAGTCTTGGGCAACACAAGAACCAGATCTATTAATACAGGTAATTGCCATAGCATCCATTTATACAAACAGATGTGGGGGCTGTAAATAATTAACAACAAACATTTCCTACTCTTTTCTTTGATTCCTAAAGAGTTTTTGAGGCAAAGGTTTGGATTTGGTAAGTTTTTGACAGACATGTAGAACAGCTGTGGCTCAGGTTCACTCTAGTAATACTGTATTCAGTAGAACCATGTATAGTGAGTTATATGGAGGACAGGAAAGTTCCAGTTTTTAGATCTTTTGCAATTAAAAACAATGGTCAAATGGAGGCAATGTGTGTGCTCTGTCCTCTATACCCATCCTGCCATGTATTCAGTGTTGTAGGTCCATAGTGCAGTAATGTCACAGGGCCTAATTCTCATTTGAGATAGACATGCCCAACTCGTTCTGTCTTGAATGGGAGCCCAGTGCACACAGCTAAGGGCAGAGAGATAGATCAGAATCACTGAAGGTGTTAATCACCCTGCAGCAGAGGGCTAGCAAAAAAGCTCTCAGAACTACTTAGGCCCTGCACTGGGGGAGCAGCTGCTCAGCTGCATCTCTACATTAGCAGGGATATAGGGAGAAGGCCACGTGATCTGCAGTAATGAGGACCCAGAGCAGACCTAACAAGCCACACAAGTTGCATGGAGGAGCTGATGTCTCTATTCCAGCCCTAAGGCTGGAGAAGCAACTGCAGGTGGGTAGGCGGACTGCACCAGCCCATGTTGAAGGTGAGGGTGAATTTTGCCTTATCCCAACTGACAGCATATTTAGCCAAATAAAGCCCCATGACTCAGGCTTTATGCATGTGACACCATATGACAAGAATTTTTCACCCTTAACAAAATAGATGACTGGATAAATGAGGCATGCTGGTTTATAAGGGAAACACCTTTTCCTCTCCACACACATCTTGGTAATGTGCAATGATGAGGAAGGAAGTACAGAAAAATATATTATATTTTAAATGAAGTTTTGATAAAATATTACATTTCTAAAAATTTGCCAGAGGACAACTTGGGTCCTTTAAGGGTCTGAAGTACACAGAGAAAAAACAAATAAAGCAAACGACTTCTATTTGTGCCCTTAGAAATTTTGCAATAATCGGATGCATAAATTACTGCACAACAATAGCAATAACTTCCACATGAGTAATTATGCATGTTTTCACTGCCTTTTGCATGCTCTACAATCCATAGCTATGTTAGCAACGGCCCCATTATAGATATCCCAGTCTCAAAGTTACTGTACAAAGCCATACCTCCTTAACCGGAAGCACATTGACAACGGCTTCAAGAAGCCAAGGAGTTTTGAAATATACTTGTATTCAGTGTTGTAGCAATTATTACTGCACATTCCCCTACCCCCATATAAGTTCATGTCCCCTGCTTTGTTTCTATTTTTTTTTAATTATGTTCTGAAAGCAAAACAAATAAGAGGGAGGGAGAGAGGGAGAGTGCAAATGCTCTTAGAGTGTCTTTGCATGGCCCACATAGCTTTCCTTGGTTTGGGCAGAAAACTCTTATCAAAGTCTATGGGAGCTGTATGGGAAAAGAGCGTGTTCCTCATGGTTCACAGTTTGCTAGCTTTCTTCCACAGCACCAGTCCGTAAAATTTTGATGCTGCTTTTAAATCAAGTACTAAGATAGGAGCCCACCTGATACATAAAAATCCTGATAACTAAGGCCCTGATACAGCAAAGCATTTAAGTACGTAGATAGTGCCACTGTATTAGCCCCATTCAAGTAAATGAGACTATGCACTTGCTTAAAGTTAAGCACGTGCTTCGAGTCCTTTGTTGGATATGGGCCAAACTGAAGACATCTTTAACCAGGTTTTTTATAGGGTCTGTTATAATTTATTTTGTGTGTTTTCAGATCTTCAACGGAAACAAATGTTTTTACTTTAAATATGACCCACTGCAAGTCATGGGTACTAACACAATGTTCACAAAGGTATAACACAATATTAGCATAATTCGGGTGTGTTCAGTATGAGTGAAATTCTCCTCTGTGCAGAGTTGTCAACACAAGGCCCATGGTGCAACTTAAGCTTTGAGATGTTAAGTGGCATTATACTAAAATCCAGAAGTTAGCAATTCTGTACCTTTGCAAAAATACCATATGGTTATATGCTTTAAAAGCCTTTGGCCACAGAGATCCGCGACCAATCTCAATCTGTGCTTTCACAAGAAGTAAAATGTACACCTACTTTTATTTTGTACAGTGGGATAGTTTTTTCATCTCTTATTTTTCCTCAATGTGTGTTTACAGTCCAGTTTTTAGGTCTTTTTCTGTTCAACATATATAAGCTTCTTTTCCAGGTTCTCTGATATTTAGCAGGCATATTCATTTGCAGTTTTTTCTAATTGACAGCATTATGTATACTCTCACCCCTTGCACAGACATCCAATGATATGGAACATAAAACCAAGTAAAAACTAGCTATTGAATAATCTATAAACTGCAATAGTCTATACGTCCAAATAAACTCTAGTAGAGTATATACCAAAAGGATGAGTACCTATCTACCTAACCTATTTTTGAACTACTAAAATTGATGTTCAGCTTCAGACTTAGCAAAAAAATTTGAATAAACCTCTTTTATTACTTTGTTCCTCGTTATGATAAATATCCATACAATACTGCCCCATTCATACGTCTAATCCAGAACCTGTTGAAGTTGACAGAAGACTCCCATTGATTCAATGAGCTTCAGAGGAGGCCCGCATGAACAAAAGAATGTAGGCACTCA